CACTACCACCACCATAATTCCATGTCATCTCCAAATTGCTATCTATGGTAAAAAATTCCCTTTGCCCCATTACTTAATTGCCAGGGGCTATTTTTGTGGGGGAGCATACCAGAACACTCTCTCTCACGATTACGCAAACCTGAACAACATTCAAGAACTTTGTTTTTGAGAGGCGGCTGTCACCAGCATAACAAGAGTCATATTATGTTCGAATCTATACTGATGACACAATGTCCAAATCAAATGAAATATGTGTTTACTTATAAATGTATGTATGTAAATAGCAGATCTGCTTATTATTAGTGATTTTACCATTTCCTCCACCTCCCCCTGAGTGTGAGGTAGGGGCGGAGGCCTGTTTCCTCTTGGATTCCTCCTTCTCATCTCTCTTGAATCATGTAGACTGCAGGGTTGTGAAGAAAGAGTCAGTTCACAAACTGCAGCACAATCACAGTCACAGAGTTGAGTTCTTATAACTTCAACTATTCTGTTTTTAAGCTACAAGAGCTATGAAAAGAAATTCATTCATGTGAATAGAATGAATATCATTAATAAATAGTATTTGGTAAAATACTAATAGTAATACTAATGTGAATGGAGTGGTATCATGGAAAAAAGTTCCAGCCCAAACCATTCATTTTTAAAAACAGCGTTTTGAGCTCATCCATCTGTACCCAACTATGAGCTGACCTTTTCTTTACATCAGAAATGGCACTCAGGCTTTTTGTGTTTTTCTTTTTGAGACGGAGTCTCGCTCTGTCGCCCAGCCTGGAGTGCAATGGCACAATCTCGACTTACTGTAGCCTCTGCCTCCTGGGTTCAAGCAATTCTCCTGCCTCAGCCTCTCGAGTAGCTGGGATTACAGGCATGTGCCATTCTGCCTGCTAATTTTTTGTATTTTTTAGTAGAGATGGGGTTTCACCATGCTGGGCAGGCTGGTCTCGAACTCCTGACCTTGTGATCCATCTGCCTCAGATTCCCAAAGTGCTGGGATTATAGGCGTGAGCCACCGCGCCTGGCCCTTTTTAAGTTTTTCGTAATTTGGCTGGCAAAAAGTAGGACAGTAGCTCTTAGCTCTTAGTTAGAACATAGTCAATGTTTACATATAATTCATGTAATATTTATATTAACAAAAAAATTAAGTTTCTCTCACATAAACTTCATCACCTAAGACTATCATTGGCTTTTGTTCCTAAGTGACTTTTTTTTTTAACATTGTCTTTTTTAATTAGAGTTGAGTTTGAGAGTACAATCCTCATACCAGTATAGAGGGTCATTTAGAACTTAGGAAATCGCCAGGCACAGTGGCTCACGCCTGTAATCCCAGCATTTTGGGAGGCTGAGGCTGGTGGATTACCTGAGGTTGGGAGTTCCAGACCAGGCTGACTAACATGGAGAAACCCTACCTCTAAAAAAAATAATAATAAAATAAAAAATAATGATAATTTAAAAATAAATTTAAAAAGAACTTAGGAAATCAGTGGGGATACAAGGCTCTCTTTTGCAAATATAATATCCCATACCAAATTTGGAGTTCTCTCAAAAAATCCCTCACCAATTGTTAGTAGTGGCTGATTCTCAAAAACAAGCGTATGTGCTCAGCCTTGCTGACAAAAATGGCTGAATGTGGTGGGCATTTGTTCATGTATACAGGCAGCAGCCATAGCGATGCGCACTGTATGCCTACTGCTAGAAATAGCTGGTGAAGGCAGCACCTTTGACATTATTGAAACTAGCTCTGTTTTTGTTTTTTGTAATTTCAGTTTATGAATACTGATATCAGTGGCTGCTGTTCTATTTATCTCACTGCTTTTACTTTCTCTGTAAAAGATTTTTTTCTTCCTTTCGGGCTTAAGTACCACCCTCTGTCCCTCTGTTCACCTACTAAAAGGTAGCATTGTTAACCTAATTCAGCAGGGCTCTGACTCCTTATAAACACTGCTCAATAGAGCCAGAAAGACTAATTGAATTGTACAATACATCATTTTTTAGCAACAGTTTCAAGTGGGTTGTACTTCATTTCCCAAAACACCATCAGTCTTTTCCTCATTTTAAGATATTTAAATATAGCAAATATTTAATCATGATAAATAAAATATTTAAACCCAATTCTTTCTTTCCCTACTGAACTGTGGGCTTTTATACCTAAAAACAGGGCCATGCTTGTTTTATTCTCCACTGAATGTCTAATGCCTGCTACTGTATCTGGCATGTATTTGTGTCTATTAATATATGCCTCAGAAATAAAAGTGAGGATTATTTAGCTCTGTCACCTTGGAATACCTGTTATTGCCAATCTGGTTAAATAGTTGAAGATATTGGCTAATTTTAGGTACCTCTTTGTGACCTGGATTTTCAGAGACTGTAAACTTCTCTAACTCTATAACTCTAATTCTTCAGGATGCTATAGGATCACACAACACAAGGTACCTCAAAAATAATTGCTTATAAGGAAAACAATTAGACTTTTATTTTTAAATGATGTATTTTTTTCCATTCCTATAAAGAACATAAACTTTGGTATAAGCTTTACAATATAAGAAAATGATCATATTGGATTTTATGTCTATGTATAAGAAATGTATAACCAACATATAATTGCCATACATTTAATTATCACATGTACATATTGAGGGGTTTTTATGTTTGTATCTGCCTGTTGTACTCTCCTCTGTCCTGCATTTGTTCGCCAAGTGACTCAGTTTATCTTCTACACCCAGATCCATTGACACCTGCTTTGCCAGCCCTCTCCCCAGCAGGCTCCCAACCCTCTCTCCACTAGGAGAGTTGATTTCTTCCTCCTCTAAGCTACCAGTGGGCCCCATCCATACTTTATCCCTCTTTTGTAGCTGATGACAGGCTGCACACTACATGTCATGTGTGGTTTTGTTTTAAGTATTTGTCTCATGCTAAGCAGTGTGTCACTTGAAGGTAGGAACTATATCCTATATATCTTTATTAATATACTTCTAGCTTAGTATATGAAACATAGATTTTTAATTATTTTTTTAATAAGCAAAGTTTTTTGTTTGTTTGTTTTACTGTTGAAATCTAACCTTGCTCCTAGAGAGGTTTTAAAGGAAACGTTTTAGAGAGGTTTCACCTTCCATAAATAGAAACTGAGCCAACTTTCTATGTATTAGTAGCCAATCTACATCTCAGTATCAGTGATTGGTATGTAGAGATTCCAAAAAATTACCCTCACATTATGCATTATGTTAGCCATTCCCTCTGTATCTCTGAGATACTGTGTTTCCATTTCCTATTTATTTCTACTGATGACAATGATATTATAAAATGAACTTTCAGGGCAGGCATGGTGGCTCACACCTGTAATTCCAGCACTTTTGGAGGCTGAGGTGGGCAGATCACCTGAGGTCAGGAGTTCAAGACCAGCCTGATCAACATGGAGAAACCCTGTCTCTACTAAAAATACAAAATTAGCCGGGCATGGTGGTGCATGCCTGTAATCCCAGCTACCCGGGAGGCTGAGGCAGGAGAACTACTTGAACCCAGGAGGTGGAGGTTGCAGCGACCTGAGATTGCGCCATGGTACTCCAGCCTGGGAAACTAGGGTGAAACTCTATCTCAAATAATAATAATAATATAATGAAATAAAATAAACTCTCATAGTCTTGTGGATACAGAGTTGGATGGAAATATTGGCTGGAGTCAGCCCAAGTTCAAAGTTGTAGTAAGAGCAACTTTTTTCTGTTCATTGAAGCAGTGTATTTGAGCTGGTTTGCTATTCAGTTAGATTATTCTGCAAATAATATCCTTTTGAATTTTGTAATATGTACATGATTTACCTTTTTTTTTTTTTTTTTGAGATGGAGTCTCACTCTGTCACCCAGGCTGGAGTGCAGTGGCATGATTTCAGCTCACTGCAACCTCCACCTTCTGGGTTCAAGCAATTCTTCTGCCTCAGCCTCCCCAGTAGCTGGGATTACAGGCATCTGCCACCACGCCTGACTAATTTCTGTATTTTTAGTAGAGATGGGGTTTCGCCATGTTGTCCAGGCTGGTCTTATGCTTCTGACCTCGAGTGATCTTCCCACCTCGGCCTCCCAAAGTGTTGTGGTTACAGGCATGATCTACCACACTTGGCCTTGATTTACCTATTTTTTTAAAGTGGCTACTTTTTAAAAAGTGTTATGGAATATTCATCCTTATATATGCACATATGAATTTATATTGTTTTTAAAAAATAGGTATTTGTGTTAGGACAGTCTTCTTTGCCGGGCACCGTTGCTCACGCCTGTAATCCCAGCACTTTGGGAGGCCGAGGGGGGCGGATCACGAGGTCAAGAGATGGAGACCATCCTGGCCAACATGGTGAAACTCCATCTCTACGAAAAATACAAAAAATTTAGCCAGGCATGGTGGTACACTCCTGTGGTCCCAGCTACTCAGGAGACTGAGGAGGAAGAATCCCTTGAACCCAGGAGGCAGAGGTTGTAGTGAGCCAAGATTGTGCCACCGCACTCCAGCCTGGTGACAGAGCAAGACTCCATTTCAATTAAAAAAAAACAAAACAGTCTTCTTAATTAATCCTTTTTTTATTTTGAAATAATCATGGATTTACAGGAAATTGCATAGACAATTCAGAGAGGTTTTGTGTACCTTTTACACATATTCCTCCCTTGGCTACATCTTAGGCAATTAAGGTAATATCAAAAACAAAAACAGCAAATTGGCATTGATATAATCGGTCAGTATAATGGCACCATTCTTTGCCATTCTATCCCATTTCCAGTAATCACCACTGCAATCAAGATACAGAATTAATAAATTCCTTCCTAGCTTAAATTCATTCCTAGTTGAATGTCTGGAAGAGAGAGAAACCAAAATTTACATTTAATTCAACTACAGACTTTTTCATTTGGCTGTGTTTAGAAAATAATCGTGTTCTTTTGATAGTTCAGCTATGGTTCCTAGTTTGAGCAGGTGTGGAGAGCCGGGTACTTCGCCAGGACTGACTGACCACACTTGTTTCGTAGGTGTCGAAGCAGGCCAAGGAGTTTCTGGAGTACGTGTACGAGGAGCCGCTCATCGACATCCAGCAGGAGAACGCCATGCTGTACCACCACGCAGAGCCACTGGCTGCTGTGCTGCGGCTGCGGCAGCGGCTGAAATCGCTCCGAGCCTATTTGTTCAGCTGCCGGGCCGCAGTGGCAGAGGATCTTCGCCGCAGGTAAGAGTCATAAATGTCAGACGGCTCCCGTTTGTTTTTCTTTCCGCCCCTGGAGGGTGGTTAGATGATCTCCAAAGGGCCTTTCCAGACTGCCTCTAATTCTGTGGCTCTTCCTCCGCCTTTCCACTGACAGTCTCTCTCTGGGCTCATCTTTTACTTTTTTTACTCCAAGGTTCGCCATTTGTTTGAGCCAAGCAAAATGAAAATAACATTCACCATTACTGAAGGCTTTCACCCATGGATCGAGTGCCCAGGATGGTGAACACTTCTCTTAGCAATATGTTAATTTGAGATAATAATCATGGGAGTATCTATATTGGTCACTTATGTAGTATTTTATACTTTTCCCAATTTCAATTCCTGTTTCTCATCAGCAAAAAATAAGCAGGTTTAAAATAGTTCATAACTAAAAAACACACATTTTCAGCGTGAAATAAGTAAATGGTTATTCAAATTTTATTTTATATATGTATTATTATTATTTTTAAAGAATAGAGGCCAAGTCTTATTCTGTTGCCCAGCTGGTCTTAAAATCCTGGACTCAAGCCTCCTGCCTCAGCCTCCCAAAGTGTTGGGATTACAGACATGAGCCACCGTGTGGGCCTCAAATCTTATTTTCCATACAGAAACAAATACCCAAAATTGGTCAGTGATGCAGGCAGTAGAGCTATAATTAAAATGCGCAGGCCCAGGATTTTGCCGTTTAGCTTACTGTCAGCGCAGGCTGCTTTCCCGTAGCTTAGTTACCTCATAGTTCATAGAACACCAAGTCCAAAGCAGGCTCGGATCCTTAAGGTTGAGACTAAAACATGCCTGCTCTCATAACATTCCATTTTTACACACAGATTTTATAGGCATTTAAAGTCTCACCCTTGGCATATACCAACTAGCTTATACTTGAAATAATTGTTTATGGTATTCATAAGTCTCTAAAAATACCTTTTCGTTTTTGTGTTTTAATAGAAATGACCAGCAGCATACATTAGTCGTGTTAAATGGTTTTGGAGATAAGTCTACCTGCATAAGAACCTTTAGAAAATATTGAAGTGATAGAATTTGCAATTTGGGATCCAATTAGATCCAAAGAAACTGACATAACCCCAGGGATCTAAAACGAACTAAATCTAGATAGTGAAGGTTATATAATATCTAGACAAGCTCTCATAAAATGGTAATGAAAAGACAGCTGCCATAAAGCAAAATACTTCTCAGTGGTAGTCACCTAGTTGTTTTTCAGAAAGCACCAGAAAGTGGTCAGGATTTATTCTTCTAAAGTCTAGGAAGAGCTTAATTTTAAAAGATCAGGGCTTTCCTTGGAAGGCAGTAGAATTATACATCTCAAACTAAATTTACCAACTAAACCAGATACAAGATTTTTAATGTTCAAAGTATGTTCTGTTATTTTCAGTACCTTTTGGCATTGCCCAGAGCTTATTTTTCTTGTGCCTGTATTTCTAGACAATATTAAAATCTCTACATGGGAATCGTGGTAGATACCTTTATAGTATAATGTTTTGCTTTGCTTAAAATATGCCAAATCAGAGCACACATTTAGAAATTAAATAGAAGGTCCTCTCCTCATATGGATGACTAAGAATCCCTACTCTATTCCAGCAGTCTGGTGGTTTACCACCATGTACTGTGCCTTATGGCCAGACCACCAGGAAAGAAATGGGAATCCTAGAAACAAGGCACTCCCAAAGCTATGAGAATGAAGAGAGCATGTTCCCCCTTAATTCTCTCATTTCCCTTCATTTTTCTTTCCTGGACTTGTTCGTAACCATTATAAAATATAATGCCTGGCACAAGGTAGCTATCAGTAAGTATTTAATGGATAGGTGGAGGGAGGGATGGATGTATAGTAATTGTCACTTTAGACCACTGAGCAAAGACTAGTAGCCCAACTTTGAGGGGGGAATCATCTTCAGAGTCTTCTTTTTCTTAACCTCCCTGTTTTTCACTTAGCATAATATCTTACCCATCCAAAACACTCAAAAATAGTTGTTGAATGAATAAGCATATGAATGAAAGAGCAGTCAAATCAGTTCAAAAACTTTAGATGATTCTGTTTCTGAAATAACTCTCAAATCTTTCCTCTCCTTTTCACTGCCTTTTTTTTTTTTTTTAATAGAGACGGGGTTTCTCCATGTTGGTCAGGCTGGTTTCAAACTCCCAACCTCAGGTGATCCTCCCACCTCAGCCTCCCAAAGTGCTGGGATTACAGGCGTGAGCCACTGCACCCAGCCTCCTTTTCACTTCTAATATACTATCCTGATTGAGAATCTCAAGGCTATTGCGGTGTCCTTCTTCTGATTAGTCTAACATTTCTTTTCTCTTCAATCCAACCTTTGCATTAGATAAATTATTTAAAATGGAAGTATAGAATTCAAGATCTGCCCAAGTCTAGCCCAGTATATTTTTATACTCTCAAATACCCTGTACTTTAGGCAAAAATTATTACTTTGCTCGCAAGGCATTCTCTTGTAGGAATTAAATGAGTTCACACAACTGAAGTGCTTAAACCAGTGCTTGGACATAGTAAGCATGCAACAAATGCTATTATTGTTGTTATCACTTTCTTATCCTGGACTGTTCTTGTATCTGACTTTAAAAGTATTTGATAAAATATTCCACCTAAAAGCTACTCCCTGTTATTCTCTCTCCTAGAATTAATCCTCTTCTCCTGCTGCTATGTCAAAAAAGGAGTGAGCAAGGGAGAGTGGGATGGAAAGCTAGCTGGGCCCAGGCCTGCAGTTTCTGCTTATACATGCACACTTCTCCATGTGATTGTTTTGTAAAATGGGTGGAGCACTCTCCCTGCAAACCAACAATGAGACATTGATTCCTACAGAAGCTGAGGAAGCACTGTTTTATTTTAAATTTTGTTATTTTGGATTTCCTCTCCTTGTATGTTGTTCAAATATTGTTTAGGGTTACCATTTCTCTCCAGCCTGAGGCAAAGAAAAGTGTGCTAGTAACAAGTATTACTTCTATGGCTTTTGAGGGAGGGGTAATTTGAGGGGGCTGGTCTTGAATTTTTTCAAATCTTTTTTATTAAAAAATTTAATTAAAATGTCATTTTAAAAAATTGTTTTCCTAGCCAGTAAATAACCAGGGATGATTTATTTTGAAATATGACTATTTAGTGAAATAATCTCCAAGAGTTTTGCTGAAGTGTGCATACTTCCTGAAGCCAGCTTACACGCCTTTTTTTTTTGAGAAGGAATTTCGCTCTGTCACCCAGGCTGGAATGCAGTGGCATGATCTCGGCTCACTGCAACCCCCAACTCCCAGGTTCCAGCAATTCTCCTGCCTCAGCCTCCTGGGTAGCTGGCATTACAGGCACATGCCACCATACCTGGCTAATTTTTGTATTTTTAGTAAAGACAGGGTTTTGCCATGTTGGCCAGGCTAGTCTTGAACTCCTGACCTCAGATGACCCACCTGCCTTGGCTTTCCAAAGTGCTAAGATTACAGGTGTCAGCCACCATACCTGGCCAGCCACACTTTTTTTTTTTTTTTGAGACAGAGTCTTGCTCTGTCGCCTAGGCTGGAGTGCAGTGGTATGATCTTGGCTCACTGCAATCTCTGCCTCCCAGGTTCCAGCAATTCTCCTGCCTCAGCCTCCTGGGTAGCTGGCATTATAGGCATGCACCACCACACCCAGCTAATTTTTGTATTTTTAGTAGAGATGGGGTATCTCCACATTGCCCAGGCTGAATCTGACTTCTTAAAAACAAAGTTAGTCACCAGTGCCTTTATATGTGATGAGTTTATCGAAAAATCAATATTTAACACTCCCTTTGTTTTACCTGCGGGGGCGGCAAAGAAAACCTCCCTCATCTAAAGTGGGGGAGTTTAAACAGTGAGGGGAACTTGCTGGACTTAACTAATCTTCTATATCCCTGATAGAAATTAAAAGAGGGAAGAGTTGATGGGGAACCAAAAAAAGCAAGAGAATCCAGTTCTTATCTAGTAGTAAAAGGCATCTCTTCCTGCCTGGTTTTTACCTCGATGTGAGAGTGCTCATTAATCTCCAGCAAGTAGGCCCAACATGCCGAAGACCTGTCAGCACCATATAAACAGAATAAAGCAAACTGTTAATATTGCTGTCGTGAGAAAACTGAAAACAGACTGATTAATTGTATTGGCGCTCGACCGCCAGGGAGCCAGCTTTGGCCATCGCCTTATTAGGGAAGTCACAGTTTGCTTTTAGGCCTTTCATTATGATGGCTGTCCGGTTTTCATCCTCACTGTTTTTGTTATTGTTGTTAAATGAATGCCTTGTTCTTGAACCCATACTGCACATCTTGACTGGCAGGGGTGATTAGTTTAGAAAAAGTCAGTGTCCTCCCTGAAGCCTTAATGTTTACAGTGCTGACAATTCACTGTTTCTGAGGACTCCCAGGTGGCGGCCCTGCTGAATTAGTTCAAGATCTAGTTAACTTTTCATGAGAAGCATTATTTACAGTGTCTACACATGAAGGTGCATTAGGAACTCTGTGGAAAATCTGGGCATACATGGCAATGTCAGGACACATCCGGATCGGCAGCTGTTAGGGAAATTTCTGGGAGGGACGTTAAGAATTGCTAGTAGGAGCGTCAGCTCTTGCTGAACACAGAAACAGCAGGATGTGTCACAAACAGGCACAGCAGAATGTGTCGCCTCAAGGCCAAATTTGGCCAGCAGACATGTTTTGTTTGGCCTTACAGGGATGGGCCCAGTAAGTTATGAAATTGTGAAATAGTTGCCAACATTTAAAAAAAATCAGGAGTTTTCATGCACACACAAAGTGAAGCGTTCTGGTTTCTCTTGGGAAATGAGTTCTGATGACCCAGAGCTTCCCTCATTCTGTGTAGCAGAGATTAGCTTTAGACACTGGAGGCTCCACTTTGCCATAACCTCTTCTGCTCTATTTGTCTCCCCAAACCCAGTGTCACTTGGTATATAACATATTGCTGCCCTGTTTTTCTCATCTCTAGCCCATTTAATTCATTTA